GTTTACTTTGTAGTATTTTTCTGAAGACTGAAGACACCAAGGAAATGTAGTTATGAGAGAGTTAGAAAATAACATAGATCTGAAATTATCTAACAGGCTTCAGGGCCTCATAGTCACCTCACATCTCTTGCTCCCTGCCTCAGCAGCCTGGGTGCTTTGGTCCTCCTCCCCATCAGTAAACTCTATCTCCTCCTGGCTTGGCACAAGGGGACGGAGGCCTGGGTCATTGGGCCCCAGGGTCTTGGACAAGCATCCCACTGAGGGAGATGGGGTGGCCATGTTGGCATAGGCGCCTCTCTCTCTGTAGACCTTGGCCAGGCTGCCCTAGCCTGGTGTCCCCTTCTGCCTCTCCTGCGTCTGTTAGGAATGTGACTCATCCACCTATTGCCAGTGCTGTATGCTAGGGTAGCACTACATTGGTGAAGGCAGTATGCTCGGTGACACTGGGCACACATCAGTACGGTCCAACTATCAAACAACACCTGCTTGGATCGCTTATGCCTCGACAGGGTGGCCCTGTGTGAGGAGCTTGGGCCACCTTTCTAAGGCCAAGCTCCCCCCCACAACCCCTGTCCTACAGAAGGTCCTGCTCTCCCTCAGATTTCTGGCCACCAGATTCTTACAAGAGGTCATGGCTGAGGGCCTGGAGGTGTCCCAGTCCTCAGTGAACTGCTGTCTGCACAGGTTCCTAAATGCTATGCTAGGCCACTTACAGGAGTCTGTGTTCTTCCTCACAGAAGCTGGCACCCATTCGGGCAGGGTTCATGGCAGTTGCAGGCTTCCTGAACTTAGTGGGTGCTGTCGACTGCACCCACATTGCCCTTATTGCCCTCTGGAAGGAGCCACAGGTGTACCGAAACTGCCATACAGCCTGAATGTCCAGGTGACCTTTGATCACCAGGGCATTTTCACAGACCTCGTGGGTAAGTTTCTGGGTAGTGTCCATGATGATGCACAGATCTTTGTGGCATCTGGCCTTCCCTCCCTTTTGGCCTCCTGGCCTGAGGGCAAAGGGTCAATAGCCTGGATAGGGGGGCAGGGGACCAGGGTGGGGCCTGCAGTCTTGACAAGTGTCATTCCTTCCATGCTAGGTCACTGTGGATACCCCTCTTCCCTTATTTGCTGATGCCATATCCCAAAGACAAGCTGTCAGCTGCGCAGCCTACAACCAAGCCCACCGCCAGACATTCATGGTCACTGAACAGGCATTTGGTCAGCTGAAGATGCAATTCTGTTGCCTCCACCATATGGGAGGGCAGTCACCAAACTGTTATCTGTGCTGTGCTTCACTACATTGCCATCTGGCAATGGCTGCTGTCACCCCTCTTGGGGGGTTGTTGGAGGGACCCTGGGTTGGGGGTGAAGGATGATGTACAGTCAGAGGTGGCAGCGGCGAGGCGGGATGTTAGAAAGCACAATAAATGCGAGTGGGAATGGGAACACATATGGCACAGGAGGTGCCCTGCCAATCAAATGCCTTTTGGGGTGCTTGTCCCTTTGGCACCCTTGGACATGACACTCCTGGAGGCTGAGAGAAAAGCCTCCCATGGCTCCCTCCAGAACTTTTCCTCCTCTGACTTTAACTTTTGTTTCCCCTGAAAAGGGGATGGGGGCAATGGTGACTTCAGAGCTAGGAATTCTCACATTTAGAAAACAACAGATATTCTGCTGCATCCTTATGTAGATTTGTTTCTGGTAGAAAATGACATCTGCACAACCAGAAATTTTTCTGAGTGTTCAGCCACTCTGATTAAGGACCAGGGTCATTGAAGAAACAGCACATCTGTATGGATGAATGATCATGTTGCTATGCCTGGCACCCACCTCTGAAAGGTTGGGTGTTCCTAGCTCTGAGTGCACTGGGCCCCAGGATAAATAGCGGCCGTGTGGAACCTGGTACTCCAGCCACAGCAGCCACACTTTTCATTATGATCATAATTTTTCCAAGCGTGGCCAGCAAGAAGTCTGACATGCAGTAGCCAAGGCACTGTTCTTTTTTATTTCCTTTTCCCTATGCAGCCCAAACTCTACTGCTTTTTCTTGGTCTTTCCTTTGATTGGCCCTTACGGGCCTCTATAGGTCAAGACCCCCCCGAAATGGACAAACCTTGCATTTTGCAGCCGCAAGACAGCCATCTTTTGAAAAAAGTGGCAGCAGCTCATTACTCATGGGCCGCTCACCACCTGCTTGACCCCCATGCTAATGATAAACAGTATCAGGATTAGGCAACATTACAGAAATTTATTTGTAGTTCCTGAAATCCCTCCTGTTTGATAAGATGCGTCGCTATAACCACATCCTGATCTGAACTGTTCCTCTCCGCTGCAGTCCCAATGCCAATAATCCCACTCATCGTTTGATTGCCACTCTCTAGACCTAGTGTGCTGTCCATAGATGCTGTTTATTAATAGCTAGGAGCACCCTGTTCAGGGGCTGACAGAATTGGATCCCTTGTTCCAATCAACCTGAGATTTTGTGGGTTATTTCCAGGAGAGGCACCAGCTGCTCTGCTGGAAGTTTGAAGCTTATACCTTTGGAAACAACCCCCTCCCCACCACCCTAATGCACAACCCACACACAGAGACACAGTTGTGGAAAACAACACTTTATTGAATGGCTAATGGGAAACGTTTCCTTGTAAATGGATGTAAAGTTGAGGTCGAGTGGCTGTTGAAATTAATGCATCTTTAATTAAAATACATACCAGATGACCAGCATAAATGGGGATTTCTTCCACTAGTTGCATCCCAGAAGAAGAGATTGGATTTATACCCTTCCCTTCACTTGGAGTCTCAGAGTGGCTTACAAACTCCTTTCCCTTCCCCTCCCCACAACAGACACCCTGTGAGGTAGTGGGGCTGAGAGAGCTCTAACAGAAACTGCTCTTTTTCAAGAACACCTCTGACAGAAGTATGGCTTGTCCATGCTAATTCAGCAGCTGTGAGTGGAGGAGTGGGGAATCAAACCCGGTTCTCCCAGATTAGAGTCCGCACACTTAACCACTATACCAAACTGGTTCTTGACCAGTTAATCAGTTTAATGGTGAGATTTGAGAGTTGAGGAGAGTTCTATTTTTAAGCCTATTTTGTTTCTGGTATGTTACGATAATACAGATGGAAAAAGAAACTGTTAGGGATAATTTTTTTAAAATGTCCTTTTTCTCATAACAAGTAGAATGCCCTTGCTTTTAAAATTGTAAGTAGTTTCCACTTAATTTAATCTCCTCAAAAGTCATCTCTGCACAGATTTGTATGTTCTCTGCCTTCCCAATAATTATTCAATTTCGCTGTTTAAGTGTATGGAAATTCAGCATAAAATATCCTGTCAGCTGATATATGTGAGAAAACAAGAAATGCTTTATTATGGCAGGGGGAAGAATATAACAAATTACAGCTGATACAGGCTTTTTCAATTTGATTATATAAGAAACTCTGTTTTAACCAACAAATAATATTTCCATTTGAGTTCCAGGAGCAATGATAGACAAGAAAAATATGAAATGTTTCTGCTTTGTTGTCATTAACATCCACCAGTTTCCTAGCTAGTGTGGGAGGCTGACTAGCACTAGTCCACACACTGAGGTTGCTGCAACAATAAACAGGAGTCTTATGGCACCTTAAATATTAACAAATTTATATTCTGCTGTGAGCTTTATTGGACTCCGTATGTGCATTTGTTTGCTATTGAGCATACAAGTCACCCTTCAATTAGAAAAAGGTACTTGTTTAGGGCTGGGTCTGAAAGCATGTCATAGCTCTGTAGGCAGACTCAGGTGGTTAGCCATGTTGGTCTGAAGTACTAGAACAAAGTTTGAGTCCAGTGGCACCTTTAAGACCATCAAAGTTTAATTCTGGTATGAGCACATGAAAGCTTATACCCAGAATTAAACTTTGTTGGTCTTAAAGGTGCCACTGGACTCAAACTTTGTTCTATAGCTCTGTATGGAAATTCATACAGTTTACTTAATTGTTCCTCAATCTGATACTCAAGTATGTTTTCTGGTGCAAACATTTTGTGATTGGCTCAGCTCCCCTTAGCCCAGCTCTGTGCTGTACTGCTCCAACCTGTCCCATTGTGTCTTAGAATCCCAGCAACCTAATTGAAAAGATAGATAATTGAACAATCATATGCACAGGAAGTGATGCATGGTTCCCCTCCATACCAGAGTATTTTTCAACTTCTGTATTCTTCGAGTGGAAGGGGAGAGGTATGCTGTACTGCTCCAACCTGTCCCATTGTGTCTTAGAATCCCAGCAACCTAATTGAAAAGATAGATAATTGAACAATCATATGCACAGGAAGTGATGCATGGTTCCCCTCCATACCAGAGTATTTTTCAGCTTCTGCATTCTTCGAGTGGAAGGGGAGAGGTAAGGATATCTGCTCCACTGATGAGAATCCTTTCCATCAGTGGAAGTGATATGTGGAATTCACGTGGTGGAGTGCCTCGTTGCAGTAATGGCGATGCTTGGAATAGTGGGGAGATGTTGAAATGTGCATCTTTCTCTCTCCTTAAATGATAGCCTGACGCATCCCAGAGGCATGGATGGGCAGCTGTATTTCAAAATGAAAACATGTTTTTGGTGCATGGAGGATTTGTTGGATCCTAAGGTGGCTTTCTGCTAGCAGAAGACATTTCTACTCACAAGGGCAGAGGTGGTCTGTGATTTTTGGTGGATTTTTTACTCAAGGTTCAGCTCTCCCCATGCAGCATCACACACTGTTCTCAAGAGTTTACCATCCCTCAGGAGCAACTTTTGGGGGTAGCATGGGAGTTTGTGGCAGAGGGGAAGACAAGAAGTATACGGATCTGTGAATGGATTAGAGTTCACAGATCATAGGATCTAACTTACTGTGGGGGGGGGCACAGGAGTTTAGTATGCATGGAGTTGGTTGGTAGGACATGGATATATAGATGTATTGTCGAAGATCTTTGTTTGAGCTAACACATGTTTGAAACCCTCTTGGTTCATTATTACTAGGATTTCTGTTGCTGAGTCATGGCAGACAGAAGACCAGAGAAGTCATGTGAACAAGCATGTGAATCACTCAGACAGCAGGATTATGAAGTGGCCGTGAAGCACTGCACGGAGGCTCTCTTTTCCCTCAGCCAGTATCCTCCCACTTGCTTCCCGGAAGCATGTCAGGCTGAAATCAACCGCATCAAAATTGAAAGTCTTCTCTATAGAATTGCTTCCTCTTTGCAACTCGTGAGTGTGTTTACAGTTGAACTGAATGTAGAATATAGTCTGATTTTATTGTTCATTTAAACGTGGAGATACCTACAAAGCAAGCATTTCTTTGCGGTTTTATATGTTTACCATTTGGCTTTATAATTAGAGTGTCTACTATACTTGCTTCTCATGCTCTTAGGTTTCTTAGCTGCCCTGTTTTGGGAGATAAAAGATCATACTCTGGTTTTTCTTCTTTGGTCTGCCTATTTAAAATAGTGGTTATGTTGTGCCTTTGTGAGAGGGCTATTAGTTCAGAGAGGTAGATTAATTACTTTGGTGTACCATTAGTCTAATGCAGCAGTTCTCACACTTTAGCAGCCTCAGGACCCTCAATTTTATTTATTTATTTATTTTTGCAGACTGCCAATCTTCTCCTCCTCTTATTGGTCCTCATGACTCACTGAACAGTCCCTTTGCATTGGGAATTAAAGTGAAAACCAGTTCACTTATATATTTTATTTATTTATTCAAATATATACCCTGCCCTCCCAGCAAAGACCAGCTCAGGGCAGCTTACATAAAATCAACAGAAAACATTTAAAACGGTATTTAAGCCTGTCAGTGTCAAAAACAGGAAATTTGATGTCAGTTACAAATGCCTCTCTCTTACAAAATCTTCTTAATAAATAAATAAGCACTGTGCCATAACTTGTTTATGAATTATCATTTTTGAAAAAAATACTGATTACAAACAAATAAAAACATATAGCTTATATAAAACATACAATAAGACTGATCACTGTTCGTACCAATATATTTCATTCATGCATACATGGAGGCTATCTTGGTTCAATATTTCACTGAGTTACAGGAATTCACAAGGAACTGAGTAATCTTAAGTGGATCATCCACAACCATCACACTTGTTCAATGAGGAAAAGCAGAAATGGTAAAGAAGAGTGCTTGTGCAGTAAACTGTGGAGACTCCTCCAGAAGATCTAGGCCCATGTGGATTCCACCTCATGAACTTTGTAGCCCCTTGTACTGTGGACTGGAGTGTGCCATTCTCTCTTACTCAAAGAACACCTCAGGGAAGCCCAGCAATGTTCCTGCAGCCTTCTACAATCACCAATTTCCTGTCATGCCCAAGTTTCATATTGCTGACAGACTCTTCCTCCAAACAACAGTATCTGATTCTTCAGGTTTATTATTAGGAGTATTCCTGTCATGCCCAAGTTTCATATTGCTGGCAGACTCTTCCGCCAAACAACAGTATCTGATTCTTCAGTTTTATTATTAGGAGTAACTATGATGGCTATATCTTTTTAGTGTCTTTCAACTAAGAATTCTAGGGCAAAGCTATTGCTTCCCCGCAGCAAATCAGCACGTTTTCTGGCTAGTGCTCTGAGATAATCTGGGAGCTAGATGAGCGCAGGAAATGACCAATCTGTGAACTCTGCCTTCTGAAAGAGGAGGAAGCCAATTCTGTCCCTTTCCCCTGAGACAGAGCCTCTGCTCCATTTCTAAAAAATTGAGAGGGTTCAATTGTCATGTTAGGTGCATGGGCGTGAGAACAATGTGTCCTCTGTTCATACAGATAACTTGTGGACACTCTGGAGTATCCTTACAGTCATCCCTAGACCCTAGTTTGAGAAACACTGGATGAATGATTAGTGAATTAGTGATGATGTTCTCATTGAAAAATACTGTGGACATGCTGAAGTTATTGAAGGGAGGAAGTAGGAAGCTGTCCAACTAGCCTCTAGGTACAAAATTAAATCTCAAGACTAGCTCCATAGAACAACTTGCACGGTTTAGGCTACTGATGTTTAGGTCTGTAATGGGGGAAAGTATTTAAAGCATCCAGTAGTTACTTATCAAATGACAGTAAACATACGAGAAACTTAAAAAATATAGCTTACAGGATGCTTCTTCTTAAAGAAGTGATTTCACCCAATGGCTTGTGCTCTCTCTCTCCTTCCCTCCCTTCTCACTCCAGCACAGCCAGGGACAACCACCTGTGGGGCCAGTCAGGCAAGGATGGGTTGGCAGCTGGAGGCCCAGGCCTCCTCACCCGGCCCACTTGCTTCCCATCCAGCAGCAGCATCCTCACCATCCTGCTTGCCTCCTGCCCAGACCAGTGGTGGTGGAGCTCGGCACTGCACCACCAGTCATGTGATTTTTTTTTCTAGTGTTGATAATGGCCAAATAATCTGCCTTGTAATGGGGAGGAAAATGGACATCCCTGCCCCCCCTTCCAACATCCCCTTTTTACTCCACATCCTCTGTTATCTCAACCTTGGAGGTGAGCAAGCTAGTTGTAGAGAAAAAAAGAGTAGACTCTGTCATTAACATTGTAGCCCCCCACCCCATAGCAAGTTGGCCACACTCCTTTCTCCATAGCCAATCTCTTGGGCCGTCATGCTCGCTGCCTTGTGCTAGAGATGTGCTAGAGTGCAAAAGCCAAGGGGGAAGAAAAGGGCATGCAGACTTTCCTGTTGTAGGTGCCTACTCATGTCTCTGCTGGTTGGCTCAGAGTAGGCTCTACAGTCAGGGTTGGCAACTCTCTTTAACAGAGGCTTAGCAGTTTGATTTGCAGCAAATACCAAGCGACTTGATTTACCTCCACATGCCATGAAATTTTTCACCCTGTCTGTATCCACCTATTATGCCTCTATTAAAAATACAGGATGTTTTTTCTACAGGCCAGTTGGCCAGAGTGCCTTTTACTTCCCTCATTGCATTCTGCCAAGCAGCAATGTTGGAACTGGAGACTCCTTTTACTGCACTGTTGCAGTGAGAAGCCTCAGCATCACGATGATTATATATCAAGGTTGTGAAGATGTAGGGGCTCTGTGTTTGAAGCTGGGTCAACAAATGCTGCTGAATGATGGGTGTTGGGGGCAGTTATGTATCAAATGGACAGCAAGGTAATTAAACAGAAAAGAGTAGTATATTTAATGCTAGTATCCATATCTTTAGTATTATTGTATATGTGTGGTTGGTGGGGCAAGATGCAGAGCATACAGGGCCGGCCCGAGGTTTTTTTGCACCCTAGGCGGGGCTACCTTCTGGCACCCTCCCGTGCACGGCAACTAATTATGGAGTTGCCAACCTCCAGGCGGGGCCTGGAGAGGAAGAACGTGCACCACACCTTGGCTACTTCTCTGCACATGCTGGGGGACACTCTGCTCCCATGATGTCCCCTGCCACTGTCGGAATGAGGGTCGCTGCATCTGATCTGCCTTGGGATGGGAATCCGTTTGGCTGGCCCCAGGTGGGAGAGAGAGATGCCGCCCCCCCACCCGCCCCCCTGGGCGGCCCTACCTGCCGGCAGGAGGAGACTGAGTGCCAGGCCCAGCATCACCCAGGCGGGCAGCTGGGAAGGTCTCATCCTGGACGCCTCTCCGGCTGCCTTGGCGCCTCTCCTGCTTGCCCTCCCTGCAGCCTTGGCACTGCCTCCTGAGTGGCTCCATGGTTGTGCCGACAAGCCCCCCCCATCCACCTTCCCGCGGGAGCCAATGTGGAGGGCGCCCACACATACATCATCAGTCTCCGGGAGAAGCCCAGCTGCCTGGCTTGCCCTGCCCCAAGGCCTTTGCCCACGGAGTTCCCACTTCTCTCCCCCGGATGGACCCAGCCTGCCGGGCTTGGCACATCAGCGGGCTCCCTTCCCTCATGCAGCCTTGCTGCCGGTTGTGTTGGGGAGCCACTGGGGACGGGGTCAGGTCACCTCCAGCTCTGCTGTGGCTTGCTCCGCTGCGGCTTGCCTCCCACGTGGAGCTGTCACCACCTCCTCCTTCCTTGGCCCGCCCGCTCCAGACGGCGCAGCGCAGTGAGACTCCCCCGCTGGCAGGCAGATTGATGTCGCTCGCCTTTCATCTGACCAGTGGTGGTGGCGCTCGGGGGAGGGGAGGCGAGGAAGAGGAGAAGGCTTTTGGTGGGGGGCTTTTGGCGAGGGGCTGCTGTTTGGCGCCCCTAAGGGCTGGCGCGCTCTAGGCGAACGCCTAGTTCACCTAGTGAGCGAGCCGGCCCTGAGAGCATACAATAGTCATGTGACTGTTTTAGTTGGTGGGAATTGTGAATCTGGTTCTCCATGAGCCTCTGTATCCCCGTCAAAATGTAATAGCCATGGAATAATTTCTTAAAGATACTTTGTATTAAATACCATTCAGCAGAATATAACACAAACACTAATGGGACATGTTTTCCTAAACACCATCTCAGTGGGACATGTGAGTCTAAATTCCTCATACCCTTAGAGATTCTGTTGGTGTCCACATGTATTAATTTTTGGGGGTGGGGTGGGAAACAGTTTTAGGGGTATTTTTGCTGAAAAATGTAACTTTCTCTTTATAAAAATGTGTTCAGAGTAATTTCTCCTTAAGCAGGTGAGAGGCAAAGATTTACTTCTTTCAGTCATACCTGCTGTTTCTAATCATTAATTTTTGTTTTTTGCAGAAAAACTATGGAAAAGCTGATGAAGACTGTAGGCATGGTATGCAGATTTAATTATTTCTTACAATCTGTAGCAATATTATCTGTTGCCCCAGTACCCAAGTGAAGACTTGAGACAACACTGTGGATCTAACTAGTTTATTTAAATTTATTCAAATCTGCTGATCTGCACCATCAAATTAATTATGCTGATATATAATTGAGGGCAAGCTGTGCGAGACAGCCTGTTCTTGGCTGCCTTTGTTCTGGCAAATCCAATCTAGCAACAAATTTGCCAGCCTGGTTTATCCTTGCCTACACATAAAGTGCTGAGGGGGTACATCCTCATCCCCTTACCCTGATGCACTGTTAAGCCATTACCAGGTTTGGGAAGATGTTGCTCAGCACCAAAGGATTTTCTTCCCAAGCCTCATCCCACCATCCAGCAAGTGATGGTCTACCATGTCTGATGGCTCAGGGTCCTCACTGCTTATCCCTACCTAAACAAGCAACCCCACCTTATCCCTGCCAAACCCCTTGTTCCACCTGCAAACTATAACTTCATGCAGGCCCTGACGTAGATCAGCTAAGTGCAAGTCGCATCCCTCTGTAGAGAGATGGATCCCATCATCCCTAAAAAGACAAGGCAGATTAAATCTAATTGCCTGATGTAAGCCCCACCACCATCCAAAACAGCCCTATGGACAGCTAAATCTAATTTGTGCCATGCTCTTTCAATCCTTGGGGGCTTAATTGGCCTTGGGATATGATATTATCCCATTCTTTAATTTAATTTTCAGGTTAGGAAATTGGGTGTGGGTGCAATTAGTCAGATATTTGGGCTTATTTATACAGAACTGTCCTGATGAAATAGTTAGGCTGCAAGCTTGTAATTGTTAGTTTGGTTACAGTGAAAGATTAACACACAAACATTTAAATTGGCAAGGGCCAATTTCAATTGTTGTGAATCTTTTATTTTAGATTATTTTGGTTATAGCATGTTACTGTAATAGGTAGTGATAAAATATTTCATCAACAAATGCAGTTTTTGTTTATTAAACTACAATATGCTTCAGCGTATCAGGTATTTCTTTTGTGATTTTGGTAACATGCATATCTTTTTACATTTAATAATTACATTTAATATCATTATTAATCAATTACATTTCTTTATTTGACATCTTATAGATAGTAAATTCTAACTTAAATCTGCCCGTCTGTCAGTGGAAGGCATGTATGTTTTCTGCGGTTGCCCTTTGCCAGCCGTCTCTTTTGACCCCTATAAAGGTGATACCTGGGGTTGAAGGAACCAGCTCCTACAAAAGCCATGCAAAGTCACACCCTCCTCCCTTGTACGAAAGCATGCCTGCACTGAGGGGAGAGGGGAAGTAGTGATTTCAGTCCCACCCCCTGGTCGTACAACTTTTGGTTTACTGCTCTCTGTAGCCATACACTCCTTTCTTGTTCTCTTCTTCCCCTCTCTTACAGGGTTTGCATGCTTATTGATTTTTTCATCCCCACCCCTGCTTGCTTTTTCTGGTTTTCCTCCCACAGGCCATTCTGCAGCTTCCTTTCATGGTTGCTCTCTTTTATTCCTAGTCCCTGATAGACCTCTCCTTATATGAGAACATCTTTTGCCATTGTAAATCCCAAATATACTGCAAGTAGGTTCCTTAAAATACTGTCAATGCCTAGCACATTTCAAGGGTTAATCCAATTAGTTGGGGGAAAAGTTAAGCCAAAAGAACTGATTCTATAAATGCTGGCATTAAACTGAAAGAAGGTGATTTTACCAAATTTGCTAGCTGCTTTTCAAGAATTGTAAAATGGTGTGCAACAATAATTTCCGCAGTCATAAAACTATTAAAGGACATTAAAACAGTACAAAAAACTTGGGAGATACTGAGCTGTGGAGAAGCAGAAGTAGCAAAAGGGACTCTTGAAGCCTTTGCCTTGTCTGAAGCCCTACTTGAAGTGAAAGAATACACTGCCTGTACACACTCAGAATTCGAGAGAGGTTATTTTCTCTCCTTTTGGAACAGGCACTGGGGAAGGGGGCAGGACTGAAACGGATTTGTGCTGCTTCTCTCCTTCTCTAAGGCCTGATGTGACATGTGAGAATAATCTTTTCTCTCCTAAATTTTCTGTGTGTCAGGGTGGGAGAAGAGGAAAGGTAACAGAAAGCAATGACTAGTTGTTAACCTTAGCTTAGGGTTGCTAGACTGCTCGGTACGGGTGGGGGTCTCCCACTTTCATGTGCTCCTTCCCCCAAAATCACCCCCTCTTACTGGCAGGAACCCGGAAATCATCTTGATGTGCCTACAAAGCCCAGAAGTGATGTAGGCGTGTTGGGCAATGCTCTGGTTTTGGGGCAAAACTCTATGATCTGAAGCAAATTCTACCATATAGTTTTGCCCAGAAAACCAGAGCATCACCCCCAACGTGCCTACATAACTTCCTGTTTACGTATACATGTCGCGATGCTCCTCCCCACTTTCGGAAAGGTCCTCTCCCTCCCCTGCTGGCAACCCTACCCTAGCTATATTCACAGGATTTTGCAGAGGTGACATTAAAAAAACTGATTGTGCCTTCTTTACTTATACTGATTTTATGCAAATTTTGATCATCACCCTCCTCTAAACATGGAAAAGTCACATTGATTTCAGTGGGAGAGTTTAGTATGTGCACTGACTGGATGGTGCTCTGCGTTTTTTATGTAAATGTATTGTGATTATCAATTGGGAGAGGGACTGACCAAAGAAGGCCAAAGCAGTGCTTTGCTGCGTGTAACCCTCCATCTCCAACATTTGTTCTTATGTTTGCTCATATTGCTGAATTTTGCTAATTCCTGTATTAAATCATCAAGAACAGGAAATTCATGTTCTGACAATTCTTTATTGAATTTTGTATGATCAATTTAAGACAGTGCAGATATTAAAAACAGCTTACAACAGTGATTTCATTAGGCCTGTTTTGACATAAATATGTTGCTGACAACTGTGTTCAGGTAAAATTTACTGAGAATGTCATCTGCACATGTTTTTTTGAAATGAATACAAATTATATGAATTAATTTCAGTCGAATAGTGGAAATGCCATTTGTGACAACAGGACCCATGCAGAAAAAGTTCCTTAAGATTTGTCTCTTTGGAGTACAGTGTTACATTTACATTTACATTCAAAAGAGAGCTAGAAAGTGTGATATGGATTAGAAGGAACAAAGAGAAAATGTAGGAAACTGGAGCGTAGAAGGAACATTTTACATTCACAGCATCTCCAACAGTGAATTTAACTTTTACTTGTTTAAAGCTAGCAAAATGTGGGTGGCTTGAATTAAACTTCTGCTGTATTGTGGCAAGTAATGGAATCTGTTTTTATTCCAGTATTGGGAGAGGGACTGGCCAAGGAAGATCACACTTTCCGTGCAGTGCTTTGCTGCATGCATCTTAAAGGGAAGCTACAGATTGTATCTAATGCTCTTTCTAAATCACTGACGGGCGAATCACTGGTAAGTGATAACCTTACTTTTAATAGCTGAACCAAGGTGTCTATAACCAGGTGTTTAGGTCAGCAAACATAAAAAGCAGAAAGCCACCAGAATCGTAGTATACTTGCTACACAACTGAAATAATATGGATCATTGTTCCATTAACGTATCAGTAAAACTTCTTTTTATCATCTCATTGGCACAGATGGATTATCTATCATCTTTGATATATTTCCTTTGATAAGGAAGGGGCTAACAATTATGGGGGTCTAGGTTTTACATTAGGGTTCATCAGCTTGTACTGCCTAATATGTGGTAAGGAAAAGATGTTGAGGTGAGGGAGGATGCCTGGAAGTTTGAGACTCAGTTCCCCTCATTCTGAACATATCATTAATGTCAGTCTGGCTACGCCTCAATTCTCAACAGGTGAGGATTAAACTGTCCTTGACTTTCAGTGTGGTCAATTGTTTCAGTGTAACTAATTATATTTAAGGTTTCACTGAAGACATTTCATGGTTAGGAAAAGCATTTTCTGAGAAACATATATAGGGCCTCCTGCAAAAGAGCAAGCATATGTTGGAAAAGTGATAAGTCATAAATTCTGCCTCTGTATACTTCTGATATTGACTGTTTCTAAGCTACAGAAAGTTTCCTTGGTGTGTGATTTAAAGAGAGAAATTGTATTTTTAAATTTTTTTGGACACAGCAGCTTGGATGACTGCCAGCATTTTTCTCAGACCGATTTCCCACAAGCCACTGCTCCGCGCTCGCTCTTCCCTTTGCCCCAATTGTATGTGTCAATTTCACACCATGTGCTGCATGGCGGCATTTTGCCCCACAGCTTTGCCCGATTTCCTCCGCATCTACTCAGTTCTATGAGGATTGAGTAGATGCGGGGAAAATTGGGCAAAGCTGCGGGGCAAAATACTGCTGCATAGCACATAGTGTGAAATTGACACGTATGATCGGGGCAAAGGGAAGAGCGAGTGTGGAGCAGCAGCTTGTGGGAAATCAGCCCCAGTGTATTTGTACCCTATCATAAACTGCTTTATAGTACCATGAAACATGGGAGATCAGCCCAATGCTGTGTTTAAAAAAATGTCCCTGAGAATGGTTCTCAACCTTGTAAAAGCTGGATAGAAAAAGTTATTTCAGTTTATATTCAAAATACTAAAGGACTAATGAGCATTATGTGATGGTGATGTTTTTTTCTTGCCAGAATGGAATGGTAACTAAAGATCTGACAAGGCTGAAAACACTTCTGGTTGAAACGGAGGTAAAACATGCACAATACTAGAAAAAAATAAATATCCTGTGTATGATGCTGAGTTTTATTAGGATGCTTTAACTGGCTTTTTAAAAAAACTGCAGTAAAGCATGCCTTAGGATTTGTTTCAGGTTTCTTTTGAAGAGACATAAGAAAGCTGAGAGCTGGCTTTTTGATGGATTTTAACAGGGTAGATGCTAGAGAGAGAATTTTTATACCTTTGTCTAATGGTAGTTATCCACTGTAGGCCTCTCGTGTCGTAAACAAGCTTCACACATGCTGCTAGCATTGATATATGCAATAGAATATTCTAGTCCTGTGCAAGGTTTTTTTTGCCAAGTCACAGCTGACTTATGATGACCCCCATGGGTTTTTCAAGGCAAGAGACATTCAGAGGTGGTCGGCCATTGCCTGCCCCTGTGTCACAACTCACAACCCTAGTATTCCTTGGTGGTTTCCCTTCCAAATACTGACTAGAACTGACCCTGCTTAGCTTCAGAGATCTGATGGGATCGGGCTAGCCTGGGTTATCCAAGTCAGGGTTTGTTCAGGAATTCATGGGCATAATTGTTGCTGAATCCAATATAGGTCAGGTGAATGTCTTACAGTACAATTCTATGCAGTTACCGCAATCTAAGGTCATGGAAGTCAATGGTGTAACTTGGCACTGGAGTGTACTGTTAGCTGTGTTTCCAAGTTTCCAGCTTCAAGGCTGGGATTCAAAGAAAGTCCATGTAGCAGGAGAGTAGATGAGTGATGTGGAGAGCCAATTTTCACCTCTCTGCAGCCCCTTATGCCATGTTAACTGCTGCTCTGGACACTTTCCTGGTTTTCAGGATGGGTTTTCAATGATAGGGAGTGTGATGTGGTAGAAAGGAGGACCTGGAAAAGCCCCACAATACATAGAAACATAGAGCTGGAAGGGACCTCAAAGGTCATCTAGTCAAGGGAAGTATCAACAGTATACTTGATTGTATAAGTCTCTGTTTTTATGAATTTTACTGTTAAAGTTTCCGCTACACCCCAGAATATTTAATTTTTTCCCCTTTTCCTTTTTTGTGGGAAATGGTATGTACGTAGAATGTATAAAACTTAATTTTAAAAGGTAATCTAGTCTAACCCCCCAGCACAACACAGGAAATTCACAACTACCCCCCCCACTCCCCCAGTGAAACCTGTTCTATGCCCATACGAAGGCAAAAAACCTCCAGGATCCCTGGGCCAATCTGGCCTGGAGGAAAATTCCTTCCTGAGCCCAAAGCGACAATTGGCATTACCCTGGGCATGCAAGAAAGGGCCACATGAGCCGAGCTCTGACTCATCCCTTCCTGCCCTTCCTCTCATGATTTGCCTAAGTTCACAGAATCAGCATAGCTGCCAGATGGCTATTGAGATTCTGCTTAAAAACCTCCAGGGAAGGAGAGCACATTATCTCCCAAGGAAGCCTGTTCCACTGAGGAACTGCTGTAGTTGTCAGGAAGTTCTTCCTAATGTTTAGCTGAAAACTCTTATGATTTAATTTCAGTCCATTGGTTATGATCCAACCTTCTGGTGCAACAAAACAACTTTGCTCCATCCTCTATATAACAGTCCTTCAACTACTGGATATCATATCACCTCTCAGTCATTTCTTCTTCAGGCTAAACATACCCAGCTCCTTAAGCCTTTCTTCGTAGGACTTAGTCTCCAGAACCCCCACCATCTTAATTGCCCTCCTCTGGACATGTTCCAGCTTGTCAAAATCCTTCTTAAACGGCAGTGGCCAAAACTGAATACAGTACTCCAAGTGAGTTCTAACCAGAGCAGAGTAAAGTGATACTATCACTTTGTGTGATCTACTTCTGTTGCTGTAGCCAAAACTCACATTTGCCTTTTAAGCTACCACATTATTCTGCTGACATGTTCAGTGTATGGTCTACTAAGGTCCCTAGATCTTTTTCATATGTACTGCTGCCAAGACAAGTTTCCCCCATCCTATAATTTTGCATTTGATTTTTCCTGCGTAAATGCAGAACTTTACACATCTCTGTTAGTTTTAGCCCACTTTTCCAGCCTATCAGGATCATCCTGTATCTTGATTCTTTCTTCTACTGTATTTGCTACTCCTCTCAAATCAGTATCATCTGTAAACTGAATGAACATCCCCTCTGTTCCTTCATCCAAGCCATTTATAGAATGTTGAACAACGAAGGGCCCAGGACAGATCCATGAGGCACTCCACTTATCACTCCTCTCCAAGAGGATGAGGAACCATTAACAAGCACTGTTTGGGTGCGATCTGTCAACCAGTTGCAAATCCACCTGACAGTAATAGGATCCAAACCATATTTTATCAGCTTGTCAACAAGAATATCATGTGGAACCTTATGAAAAGCCTTACTGAAATCAAGATAAAGTATGTCCACAGCATTCCCCCGATCCAACAAGGTAGTACCCCGATCCAACAAGGTAGTGTTGACAAGCTGTAACTCTCTCAAAAAATGATACGGTTAGTCTAACGTGACTTGTTCATGAGGAACATGTTTCTCTTTAGATCCAGTTCCTAGTTTGAAATTTTAAAAAACCTACCAGTTTAATGCAGAAAACTATTTAAATGTAATAGCATCTGTTGCTTTCAGGAATTTAATTGCTGTTTCATCAGTGACACTGAGGAAGTGTATATTTAATATCCTCTTTATATTTTTATATAGCTAGTGTTTGGAACTATATTTGAAACTTGTTTAAAAATCTTTTGTTGTTTGACTCATGTTTTAAGCAAATTCTTATAATTACAGGCGGCAGCTGGTAAAGTACCCTCTGTATATCATGTAGAAGATTTGGAAGAAGGTAAATAAAATAAACTTTTAAAATGTTGAAGGAGAGGTTATGCTCATCTGCCAAGATATTGCTTAAGCCATCCCCACCACCACCACATTTTGTGTCAGAGAAAACAATTATTGTTAGGGATAAGAAATAAGTTATATGGCCTATTACTTGAAGTGTTGTCATGAAACAAGGAGGCTTGCTTGCAGGAAATTGTAAGAATTACTTCGACTAGGACCTGGATCTTCCCACTGAGATTTTTATTAATTTAAAGGTAATATTATGAAATATAATGGCCACCAAATGTAACATCTGTATAGAATGTCTTAACTTAAGATGCTTGGGCTGTCCTATGGTGATTGAGAATAGGTGTCTTTAATACCCATACTGATCTGCTGAGCCTGGGCTTCTGAACTATTGACCCTCCCTTTTCTGTCACTAGTGTCCTGGGAAGAAAGATCAGAGTAGGGAAAAAATGGTTGTAAAGTGGCTCCTGACTATAGTTGCTCTTAATTATAGCAACTCTATTTGTTAAGCTACCCTCTGTAAAATTCTATTTGACAGAAGCTGGCGCTTAGGCAAGGGAGCATTTACTTTCCTCAGCCTGGCAAGTAGGGTAGCTAATAGACTGTTTGTCTCTAGCCTTGAAACTAATTATTTGGTCTGATTTTAAATATCACTGGTGCATCAGGAATTGTAAAATATTGGCAACCAGAAAAATAACCTGCCCATTATAATTGCACTGCAGGATCTCAGGATGGCTGGCAATTTCGGCCCCCACCAAGGGGAGTTACAAGTAGTGAGGAGTACACATTATGCAAAAGGTAAAGCAATACATTTTTCACTAATTTGCAATGTGTATCGATAGAGTTACAGTTTAATTAAAATTAAAACACATCATGAAGAGAGCAAGGCATAGAACTGAAGTACATATAGCAGTAAAGAACATCAATAATATTCAGCATTTGGCAGTATCCAAATAAGATTTTCACATATTACTTTTAACAATCTATTCCTCTGGCAGTTAACAAGCAGTCATTGATTGGTTGGGGACAAATCACTAAACATCAGGGCATTCTAAACTATTAGATTCAGAAATAATGCTAAACTTAAATTATTTTAATCTTTTTTCAAAACTGTAGCTCTACGTACATTTTCATTCTTCCACTATAACTGTTAAATCATGAAGGTCTACATCTCACTGAAGCTTGTATATTAGTGTATGCATACTCTGTGTGTGTGTGTGTGTGTTAAGTGCCATCAAGTCACTTCTGACTTATGGGGACCCTATGAATTACGTCAGTCTTAAAGTTGTGTAATTCCCCAGTAGTCATTATTTTTTGTCTTATTGATGTTCAGTTGTAATCCTTCTCTAGCACTTTCTGCTTTAACCTTCATAATAGTAGTTTCAGGTTTTCACTATTTTCTGCCAGCAGTGTGGTGTCATCTGTGTGTCTCAAATTGTTAATGTTCCTTCCACCAGTTTTCACTCCACCTTCATCTAAATCTAATCCAGGTTTCCTTATGATATATTCTGCATATGGACGGAAGAGATAGGGAAATAAAATAATCATTGTATGACACCTTTGCCAATTGGAAACCACCTCAAATGAGAAAGAAGAAGGTGTTTAACTCCCAGTCCTTTCTAAACTATGGAACTCTTCCTAGATTCCATACAGACTTACAGAAGACTAACCTGGTCCAAGCCAAATTCTTCTGTTGGGTCTAACTCTAAGTCCACCCATGTCCAAAACTCAGGCAACAGAAGTAACAAGCCTTACCCACAGCACACCTGGCACTAGGCCTCAGTTGAGGTCAGACTTCAACTCATCTGGCATAACTGAACTGCATCAATGTCTGATGCCTGGGTACAACAAACGTCAGGCAAGGTTATGCCATTGAGTTTACCCCTGCAGCTCAAGATTTCAGCTGTCAAGATGGAGGCAGCTTGATGTATTACAGATGTTTGCCATAGCTGAATCAGCATGATGGTACATTAAAGAATATTAATCAGTTTAAAAATATATACTCTCATTTATCAAATTCTGTGTTAAATTTGCTAAGATTTTTTCAGATTCTGTAATCCTTAGTTACCAGTGTGTTCCCTAATTAAGAAGCAATTCTGGCTTAAATTCTTGTTATGCTTCCTTTGTTATCAGCTTGGCCTGCTACAAGGCCAATTATTCCAGGGAGGCAGTGGAGCCCTTGGATGACCAAGGGGTAAAAGGAGTACTGAAGGATGATAGGGAAATGGCTGAGAAGCTAAATGCATTTTTTGCCTCCGTCTTCACTGTGGAGGATGAGAAGTGCTTGCCCACTCCAGAGCCGCTGAGTTCGGGAGGGGTGTTGAAAGACCTGAGTCAGATTGAGGTGACGAGAGAGGAGGTCCTAAAACTGATAAACAACTTAAAAACTGATAAATCACCAGGCCCAGATGGCATACATCCAAGAGTTCTGAAAGAACTCAATTGTGAACTTGTGGATCTCCTGACAAAAATATGTAATCTCTCCTTAAAATCAGCCTCCATTCCTGAGGACTGGAAGGTAGCAAATGTCACTCCCATCTTTAAAAAGGGTTCCAGAGGAGAGCTGGGAAATTACAGGCCAGTCAGTCTGACGTCGATACCGGGTAAATTGGTGGAAACCATTATTAAGGAAAGAATTAGTAGGCACATAGATGAACAAAACCTATTGAGGCAGACTCAGCACGGTTTCTGTAAGGGAAGATCTTGTCTCACTAACCTGTTAGTGTTCTTTGAGGGGGTGAACAAACATGTGGACAAGGGGGATCCAATAGATATTATTTACCTTGACTTCCAGAAAGCTTTTGATAAAGTTCCTCATCAAAGGCTCCTAAGCAAGCTCAAAAATCATGGGATAAAAGGACAAGTCCTTTTATGGATCAAAAACTGGCTAATTAATAGAAAACAGAGAGTGAGTATAAATGGGCAGTTCTCCCAGTGGAGGGGTGTAAGCAGTGGGGTACCACAGGGATCAGTACTTGGTCCACTGCTTTTTAACTTGTTCATTAATGATTTGGAGTTGGGAGTAAGCAGTGAAGTGGCTAAATTTGCGGATGATACGAAGTTGTTCAGGGTGGTGAAAACCAGTGAGGATTGTGAGGCACTCCAAAGGGATCTGTCAAAGTTGGGCGAGTGGGCGTCAACATGGCAAATGGGGTTCAATGTGGCCAAGTGCAAGGTGATGCACATTGGAGCCAAAAATCCTAAATATAAATACACATTGATGGGGTCTGAACTGGCAGAGACTGAGCAAGAGAGAGATCTTGGAGTTGTAGTGGATAACTCACTGAAAATGTCGAGACAGTGTGTGACTGCAATAAAGAAGGCCAATGCTATGCTGGGGATTATTAGGAAGGGTATTGTAAACAGATCAGCCAATATCATAATGCCGCTATATAAATCAATGGTGCGACCTCATCTGGAATACTGTGTGCAATTCTGGTCACCACACCTTAAAAAGGATATTATAGCTTTGGAAAAAGTGCAGAAAAGGGCAACTCGAATGATAAAAGGGTTGGAACACTTTCCCTATGAGGAAAGGTTAAAGCGCTTAGGGCTCTTTAGCTTGGAGAAACGACGACTGAGGGGTGACATGATCGAGGTTTATAAGATTATGCATGGGAAAGAGCAGGTAGAGAAAGAGGTACTTTTCTCCCTTTCTCACAATACAAGAACCCGTGGGCACTCCATGAAATTGCTGAGCGGTCGGGTTAGAACGGATAAAAGGAAGTACTTCTTCACCCAAAGAGTGATTAACACTTGGAATTCACTGCCACAGGAAGTGGTGGCAGCTACAAGCATGGACGGCTTCAAAAGGGAATTAGATAAGCATATGGAGCAGAGGTCCATCAGTGGCTATTAGCCACAAGGTATAGCTAGGGGCTCTGGGGCAAGTGATGCTCTGTCTTCTTGGTGCTTGGGGGGGGGGTCAACAGTGGGAGGGCTTCTAATGTCCTGGCCCCACTGCTGGACCTCCTGATGGCACTGGTATTTCTGGCCACTGTGTGACACAGAGTGTTGGACTGGATGGGCCTTTGGCCTGATCCAACATTGGCGTCTCTTATGTTCTTATGTTAATTTATTTGTTGGGTGCTGCCAGTGGAATTCCCCTCACTCCGCCGGTTTTTCTGCCATTTCTCCTCTGCTTCCTGCCCTAGAATGAATACCAAAGCCATTTTCAAGCTTGTGTGTTTTTTGGAAGCTGACATGGGGTGAAAAAGAGAATAGGAAGCGTGTGTTGCCAGACTGGAAGTTGTTTGGTTGATCTGACCCACTCCGGCTCCTCCTTTAGTTCTCTCTGAGTTCTGGACTTGGATATCTGGCACGGTCAATGCTCTCTCTAAGCTGTGGAGTCTTGTGAGCAAAAATTCTCCTTTGTGAGCTACTGGCATTAAAGTTGTGAGCGAGCTATTTGGCTGCTGCATAAATTAGTTTTCTCTGGAGCCATCCTTCCTGAGGAAAGCCAAAAATGTGTGAGCCGGAGGCTAAAAAGTTGTGAAGTAGCTCACACTAACTCATCTTAGAGGGTACGCTGTGCACAGTCCAGAGAAATTTCACTCCTCTGGGTATATCTAGCTACAACAGAGATATTTCATCAGCAGCTAGCCATCTCCTGGGGAGAGCCTTCTGCTTCTGTGTGTACATTAGCAAAGAGTGCTGAGTCATCAGCCAGCGTGGAGTCATCTGCTGTTTGAAGCACCTCACTGAGGATTTTTGAAGAGTGCTGAAGGGATTTGGAGTGTGGCCACATTTTTTTGTAAGGATTTTGGGAGTAGCTGAAATTTGCTGTCTGCTTTGAGAGTTGACTTTTGGAATGATAGTAAACTGATTCACCTGTGCCCAGCTCATCTCAAACTTTTCTGGACTTTCTTTTTTACTGGGAGAAGGAGCCATGGGGGCATATAAGTGACCAAGAGAATGGACTGAGTCTGTGCCCACCTGAAACTCCAAGCAATGTAGAACGGATGACTTTCTCAGTCTTCCTGATTCTCCTGAGTTCAGTGTTCCCACCTCTCACAGGTTTTCTGCTCTGGACGTAGCCGCTGAAACAGACACACCTCTGGCTGATACTGTTCCTAATGTCACTGCACTGGGACTAGAGAGCAGGCTAGTCTCAAGTGGGCCTTCCTCAGGTGTTCATGGGATGAGGAACGAGGGGGCTGCTGAATTTTCTTGCCAGGCAGCTAGGACAGTGAGCACTATCTTTAGCCAACTGAACTCTGTCCTCTCTAAGTTTAGACCATCTTATTGATGCAGTTACAAAGTTTATCTGCAGTAATTCCTTATCAGTGAAGTCATTAATACCATTCCAGTCCTTGTCTACTTCTGTCCTGAAAAGCGACTACAATAGGCTCTTGGTGTGATAAATACTAGCTAATTGGTGCTACAGTCCCATCACATATGTCTGAATGTTTGATTGGATTGTAGGACCTCCTTCTGGAACTCCGAATTTGACACAGTACAATTCTTAAAAGCCCATCAAAATATCAAAGGCACATTTATTGCCCTAAGGTCAGTTGAGACCTTTAACAGCTCCTTCAGGGCAAGAAGATGACTGTTATCCTTTGATGGTCCATTTATTCCAGCGCTGATTATGCAACGGAAAAACTTTCTGATTTCCAGAGGTGTTCTCCCTTCCCGAGTTTTTAAGACCATTCTATGCTCTCCTCTTTTTAGATCAGGGCTTTGAAGGGCCAAAACTGAAGTTATGTTTAAGAGTGGGCCTAGTGGCTCAGTTAGCCCTTCAGAGTGTGATCTCAGTAGTTGGGATGAACCTCCCACCCATTTGGAGCCTAAGGTAG